AAAGACGAAAGTAATTCAGTTCATAAATAACTCTTTTGTCTTCTTCCTAAGAATAACGGTAAGGCTGGTTACAATGTCGGCGACAGTTTGGATAGTAACCCTGGAGACAACATTCAAGAGTTCAGACAGCTGCCACAGGTAAAAATCGTTTATCATTTGTTAGCAGTTGTCTTTTTGTTTGCTCTCTTGCATTTCTTTCTCTTATGCTTGATATTTTCTTTAAATAATCCAATCAGGAATATTACATGAGTGGATGCGATGCTAAGGTAAAAACCGAAGTTGATATCATGTGGACAAACCAACACGGAACTGGACCAGATACCAACGACATGGTAGAAACCCAAGTTATTCTACAATACATGTGTCAGCCTTATCCAGAGGGCAAGATGGCAACCAACGACGTGAACAAAGAATTTGAATATCATACAATTCGTAATGGGCAGACTCTTACCACTCAATCATTTTCGAAAAACGCGCGAGAGAATGCTTACATAAGAAGAGACAGAGGACTTCACGAACCAGCCAACTATTATCAGGCGTATTATCGGAGAGAGAGAAACAAAGGTAAGAGGTTTAAACAAACTGAAATACCGAACTGACTGATACAAAAATGAATCTCGATGAGTCACTCTCTTTATAGTAACGATACTATTGCTCATGCTCCAGGTTTGTTCACTGCTGACCAACAACTTAAGGGTGATCTACCGATTTATACGCGACAGAATGCCGCAGGGACAAGGAGGGGCTTGGAGGTCCCTGAGGAACGCGATTACTATCCATACTGGGGCCCTACCCCTTGGAAGGACATTGCTATCATGGTCAGCGATAAAAAGACCGAGCAACTAATGAAAGAATACGTAAACAGCCCTCACTATGGACACAAATGTAAGTCAGGTTTGCTCTGAACGGTTTTATAAGTACAGTTCTATACAGCATTGACTGACCTTTGTTATCAAAGCAAATCCATTTGAAACTTTCCCTAAATCTCACGTTTTAGACTTATGTATAATGCCTACCAAACTTGCCGGAAATGAAGATTGTCCGCCCGACAACGCGAACGTTAAAGGAGAAAAATGTGTTGCAAAATACATCACCTCAGAGAAATGCAAGGCGGCTGGAGGAACTTGGACAAAATTCATCACGAATTACGTTGAGAAAACTGCTGGTGTGTTGAGCACTTGTCATAATGTGGGCGAAATGAAACTGGCAAGAGGCATTCCTTACGAACCACACAAGATCTCTCAAGGAGCTGATCAAAAGGAGCAGTTTGTTCTTGTTCACAAGCCTCCTGAAGTGATCTACGCCCCATCCACTGTCGTTAATCATAACGGAATGAGCATGGAAGGAAAGTTTTCGTCCTACAAGTGGAAGGTTCCTTGCTTTCCAACAAACACCACCCAACGCTGTGTGATACGACTCAGGTGAGAAAACTAATCATCAGGAAGTAGAGGCGATGGAGCGTTGAAAACAAGAAGCAGGACTTTAAATATCAGTAGGTTTCATGATGATAAATTTTCTTCTCTTTACATCAGAAAGGAGAAACGGACGAATTCAACTCGAGATTCCTTCATGTAACCCATTTTGGCCTTATGATTTTTCAGTACCAATCTTCCCAAATCCTGTTAGAACAAGAGAACTGTAAAAGAAAATAAAAATAACTGGATATCAACCTTTTTACCAACTCATGATGACATGTCGAACACCGCATATGCTTATTAAAATTAATTGATAACGCTTCCTGAGAACGTACCTCATTCTGATACCCTCAACTTAACGAGTTTTCATAAAATACTAAAAACCATTTCAAGAACATTATATACACTAGTTTTCAGACATGCTTGTGTCTAACTCAAAACCTAGTTCAGTTATGGAAGCAATTCTGTCAAGCTTAAGTGACACTGATTTTTTCCTCGCAGGTACAATATAACCACAAGCGATGTGCCCCGTGGGTTTACTGCTAAGAACAATAACGAGTAGGTACTTAATCCATTTCCCCTTAGAGTGACTAACTTCTCATTTCTCCTTATAATAACACCCTGAATCAAACACTAAGGTCGCAAGAATAAAGTAATGGATGGCCAACTAAAGAAGCTCTAGATTGTTAGACAAATTCTCCTTGTCAGTCGGTGAACTGTGTATTGAACAGTATGGATAATATACATACTGATGTTATAGGATGTGTAGGGCTCATGACCACTTTACAAAGTCATTCCATTTTACCGTTAGTAGAATCGCCTAAGTTAACAAAAGTTAAAGTGAAATGTTTTAGTTTCCTAAATGTTTGAAAACCCGACCGTCTAATAACACTGTTTATTCTCTATTATCAAAAAAATAAGGCTCAACTTTCTCCTGTTTACAACAATAACACGTTGCTATCGTGATCTTGAATACACAAGCGTTCATTTCGTAATTTTTGATCTGATAGCTCTCAGTGAGTTTCATCGACATGAAATCCCTTAAGACGGGTGGAAAGGAAACATGGTACACTGGGATTTGATTCAAACTGGAATAGACCTCGGTTAAATTGCACTCAGCCGAATAGATCCGATTGGACATAGAGACCAACGTGAGAAAAGAGCGTTTACAGATCGATTATTCTTTTCTTCTCAGGGTTAAAAATAATCCGAAAACAAAAGCTGTTGACAATAAGACCGATCTTCAAATCGCTTTGAACACTGCTCAGCTTGGTAGAACATTCCAGGATAGAAGTCATGTGATCATTCTTAAACCACGCAGCAAACTGCCCATGAAATTTCAGCATAGCAATATCTATTACATTAATGGAATGGGCAAGAGAGGAAACATAGTGCAGGCGTATCCTGCCATGGAATATCGCTTTTATCCTGAACGCCTCACTGTTACAACAGAGGATGTGGTGTGTTTCGTCTGGTCCGGTGAGAAGGAACAATCTATTTGATACGAACTCTTGTGACCTGTTCATAAATTCATTCTTATTTCCATTTCCCATTTCGTTTTTTCATTGTGTCCAATTGTTTACCTATTTATTGCTTCCATCGTTAGGCTCAAACAACAATCAGAACAATGCTGGAGAGGGAACAGCACGTAAGAAAAACACGATATTGCATATTTAATTCTGGATTCATCTGACTTAAAAAGCTCAAGCCTGAATATTTTCGATGACTAATCAATATATTACTAACATGAGCAAATAACAGCCGACCGAGTAAACTAAATCTGATTAGTAAAACCTTGAATCAATTCCTTTCTCATTTCAGGTACTGATCGCACCAACGTGTGCTGGATAAAGGAAGGATGCCAATCTCTCAAACCGGCAGCGTGTTCCAGCCTTCCTCTTGAAGTAGTTGACCATGTCGACGAATTTGATGCCGCCAAGTTAAATCTTCACCTTAACAAGGGCTGTTACACTGGTGACAAAGCACTGCAGGCTCAACTGAACAACGCCCCGGCCTCTTGCAACCCGCCATGCTTCCGCATCACAAAGCCTGGGGAGTACTGTTACATGGGCACGCGCAATAACAACTTCTCCAACCGGCGTCACATAGGACAGATCACTGTCACTGGGAAAACTCCGGCTAAATGATTGAACTGTGTTATTTATGTGCTAAATCCGCTCATTTCTTGATTTTGTTTAGGTAGATTACGCTGTAACACGCACTGGGATGTTGGAAGAATAAAACAAGGGAATTGATTTCTGCTTTTTTGCATATGTCTATCAACCTACTTAACTCTGATTACTTACTTTGCATTAACAATGAATCTTTCTGAAGCATATTTTTTTTAAAAAACAAAGCAAAACAAAATGACATAATGATTGTGTCAGCCCTAATTTTCATTATTGTACATATCAAATAGAATGGCGATGCTTGAAACAAAACCTTCTACCAAGGAAAAAAAAGTTTTCCCTGATTCCGTGTTCAAATGTATATATATTTTTTCTTCATTATAAAAGTGCGACGGTTGTTATCAGTGTCATTTAAAAAACTGACCAATCCGTAAACAGAAAACGAGCGATTAGATCAAATTCAATCAAGGCTGTTTTTTTCAATCAGGTTTTTCGTCGGTAGAAAGGGTTAGCCCGGTCGATCTCGAAACGAATCACATATTAGTGCAGAACTGCAACGCGGATTCGCGTAAAGTGAATCAATATTTTTAGAATTGTTGCCGTGATCCAAATTGAGCTACAAATCAACCTGGGCTCGTGCAAAGAGGCCCTTAGTTGCACAGCTTCAAACTGAGTGATGTTTATGCTAGTGGAATTGTTAGCAATTTCTAGTTATTCTTTAACACTTGTCAACATTTGGTAGAATTAATTCATGCGGGAATTGCTACAAGTAAGAAAAACTTTTCTTGTAGCACAAGCAAGCTCTGCTGTAATGTAAGAATCATCAAGTCTGTGACGACATTGGCCGGAACGTAAGGAATAAATAGGAGAGTGAGAGATGGAGGCAGTACTTTTTATTTTATTTTCCCAAGCTTTCTTCATGCTTGAATCAAGTAATTACACAGATTGCCCAAACTCCATAAGAACCGTTCTAAAGTTCAATTTTCGAGCATCGTTTGGATTTGCGTTTATAAGAGATAGTGTGATGATAACCAAAATATGCCATAAAATGATGGCTTTTGCATTAAACAACTTGAAACAAGAATAATCCACCTCAAATTTGTGTTTCGCCTCTTGGCCATCTTGGAGCTGTTCAGGCGAATATCTTGATTTCGAAATGAACCTTTTCAACTATACATGTATTCACGAATGAAGGTAAGCTTAGTTGTTTAGCACTTGTTACTCATACTCTTTTAATTGTACTTGGAGTAGTGAGAATCGAGTCAGCGAGGGTTTCTTCTTTTCTTAGGTGTTTTCCTCCGCATTGTGTAGCTATTTTCTTGTAACCGGTCTTCCGCGTTCATTTTTTCAGACCACGTGTGGTAAAGATGTCACGTGCTTCATACGGCCGTCTGCTTTTGACGGGTTCTCTTTATCCCTACCAGAAAACAATACGATAAATAATTCAGCGATAAGGTGTGACAACAGATGACTTCAAAGCAGGTAACGTATTTTGGCTGTTCTCGGACAATAAGCCGTCTTGAGAAACATGATTTGGGAAGGCGAGTGACGCAAGCCGAAATGACCACGACAGACAAGACTAAATAATTCTCCGTGGTTCGAATGATTTTAACTGGCTTCGCTGATAATCGGAAGCGATGAAAGCTCTCTGGATTTGTTGATATTTAAAAGGTAAGATAACATTCGATCTAGTCAGACCTTCCAGCAATATATAACTTATTGGCGACCAAACTACTGCTGGATAACTGATCGAATAATGTTTCTTAAAAAATACTGTTCGAGAAAATATACGATTTTAAATCATTGCAGATGTCGAAAGCTACGAGATGGGAAGATTACTGTAAAATTTATATAAATAATCATAGTGAGATCAGGATCGCTTGAGATTTATTTTTAGAAAACTGACTCATTGGATTTAGAGATATATTTGCGAATTTGATGATGCGTTCGCATGGTCACGGCGATCACATTTCTTGATAAAAAAATCTCAAAAGCTTATCTATGAAACGTGTTTATGGCCATATGCTGGAAGTTGAATTAAATTTTAGAGGTAGAACAGAGGTATCGAGTAAGTTTATCCTCAGGCCAATTATATTCAACCAGGAACAGCAAAAACACAAGGGAATCGTATTCAAAGAAGCTCTTTTTACTCTGACTTCTTTGAAGCTTGTTAAAACACCTTGCTAATTATAAATAAATCGCTGAAAGCCTCGAACAAAACCGAATTGCAAGAATTACACAGTCAACTCGTGTTGTGTTATTGCAAATTATGCATGTATTTCTTTAAGTTCCAACCAGCCGCCACGAGGTTTCCTAGAAGCAAAGGTAACAATGGAAATAATAACACTTAGAGTGTCTATCTACAGTAAATACTGAGAATACTGAGAACAGCCTGAGTACAGCTCAGTACGGTAAATAATCAACTAGGAGCGGATTTGTCCTCCAAAACAGAATGTTCCTCGTTATTTCTGATGGAATATTTGAGGCTCGCTGCCGCCTCTTAAAAGCTTTGTTCTCGAAATCAAGTCACACCTTCCATTCTTTCCTTCGCAGTTCAAAATATAATTATTTGTTTAATTAAAATTGTGATCTACGGGAACGAAGAATTCACAAGAATTTGCCTCGCTCCCAATATGAGGCTCATTGCTAGGTTGGTAATGGCGCCCAACTAGTATCTAAGAGGCCTGAAATTTTCAGGCTTCTTTCCTGCAATTGCTTGAATTGCAGCTCACTTGCGATGCTTATTGGAAAGATTTTCTTACAAACAAAGCCGTAATCCCTAAGGCAATTCATTGTTTTCACTTTTGTTTTCTGTATTCAAGAACTGTCAGCATACAATGAGTATGGGACCGTTCGGAAACCTTTTTCATTCACCTCATGCACAATATTCATCAGCCAGATAATGTTCTGCGGTTAAGGAATTTTTAAGCTAGAAGATCCAAGAAAATACGCAGGTGAGCACTATTCTTGATTAGGCATCTTTTTTTTTGCGCCAGCCAGAGAGTAAAGACATCAAGCTAAGAGGAGTGAAGCAAAGTGAAGTGTAAGTGTCCTTGACAATCCATTGTTGTTACTAAAATTTAAGTGTGTAAGCGATTGCAATCGGTTGTCAATTTCGTGCGAAGACGTCACAGATCAAAGCCTTAATCGAGCAGTCAACTTAGTGCAACACAAATGGATAACGGAGCTGAGTACACCTTTTTTGTAAAAACGTCTCATTTTTGGGCTGAGGCTGGACGTTCTCATTTATTTATTTATTTATTATTTCTTATTTTTGCAATTTGAGCCTGAAAACGTTCCAAACATGAAGTATAAGTTGTACGGTAATAAATGCATTCAGACGTGATCAGAATAAGTTCGACAACAAACTGAGTTGTTCTTCAGTGTATCGTGCAATAACCGCATTGTTTACGTCCCCAAGGATCTGAGTTAACTGTCCTGTTCGACCAGAGTTTTACATTCCTTTTACCTTTATTTACACTTCTCACCAAAAATCAGCCGTTCTTAACTGACTCACGGCCCGGGTGTGTTCTTAGGTTGTTCTCAAAATTTTGCTTAATCTCTGCCTGAACGTTCCGTTATAAAATAGGTCCTCATTAAAAAAAGAGTGTACAGATACTCACAACTAAATCGGCATCGTTCTACAAACAATGAAAGCAAAGCTCTGTTAGAACGTCTAAGAAATAAGCTGATTTTATCGTATGCTCCTCATCTAATATTTTTATGTTATGAGAACAAATCTTGCGGTCAATTCAGTGTCTCGAGAAAAGCGATTGCCTACACATTCATGAAAGTATTAAGTGTTGTGTGACTCCTAACGCAACCTCCCAGATAACGCGTATTAGGTCTTGGCGCATGGAGGATTACAGTGCTACAGTAGACCACGTACAGGGAATGAAATATCGTTGATTTACATTTTAAACATGAGATGAATAAAACTCACTCACCTTTTGTGTTTCCTTGATCCTTTTGGCGTCCCCAGGGAAGTGTTCTTTCCTACAGTTCAGCGTTACTTTTATTACTCGGGTTAGCTAATCCCTTCATTTACATATTGATTTGCGGCTTCGAAGATTGTGACTGCCTACCGATGGAGGTACTTTTGTATTGTTTTGCCTTTTCAAGTTTTGTCTCCTATCCCACCAAATTGTAAACATACGAGACTTCTCATCAAACCTTTGAGATGGCTGCAAAGGGCAAGTTTACGACTTTGAAAAAAATTTGTTACCTGATCTGAGGATTTGATCTTCCACGAAGAGGCTTGTAATTAGAGGTTAGATCAATATTTTTTGAGACAAAATCCGTAGAAAGTATTTCCACAGCTAGTGTTGTTATGTGACTCTATTCGATTAAGGAAAAAAAATTAGAAAACATACTAACGGTGTTTGGGGACTTTATCAGTAGACTCCATAGTCGATCAGGACCTATTTAAAGAGTACGAAATATTAGCGGGAAAAAAACCCCAGCTTTTCCAGATTTTTATTTCAGTTTTAGTGCCAGAATAATAATGTAACAATTTTTTTCAATTTGTCGTTTAATGACTGTAGACAGCTGTTTTTTTTTTGCCTGTCATACACAACATATTTTGTCTCAGCCACTGCAGGATATCGCGTCCACGTACAATTTTGCCCGTCTCCCTCTGAGTGAAAACAAACTACTTTCAACTTTTGCAGGATGACATTTGAAAGCCATTGAAGTAATTGAGCGACTAGGTAGTTCAGAGCTTTGGTAATCGACGTGAAAGCAGATAATATGGAATCGAAAAAAGAATGGAGTCGACCTGACCAACAGATCATTGCCTTCTACGTCGCTCAAGAGGCCGCTGTTGAGAAAAGAAATGAGGTAGGTCAAGCTTTGGAAATTAAATTTATGAGAAGTTTTGCTGTTAAATTTTCCTCTGGTTAATTCTGGAACTTTCAAATACGCTCGCTCACGATGTAAAACTTGTTCTTTCATTCATAACGTAGAGAAAATATCGGGACCCAAGAGATCCATTAAGATCACTGATCACTTTACGTGTACCTCCGCCAATGTTATTTACTGCATAACTTGCACTTATTGCAATTAGTTATACATCGACGAAACAGGAAGACGACTAGGTGACCGATTCCGAGAAAAACTTCACGACGTGGAAAGAAATGACAGGGACGCATCCAAACCAGTCGCGAGACACTTTAATCTCCCTAATCATTCTAAACAGCATATGACAGTCTGCGGCCTTTCCTTACATCTAGGCAGTTCGGAAAGCCGCAAAACACTAAAACAAAAATATATCTTCCAAATCGGCACCCTTAATCCCCACGGAATCAACGAGCGCTTTTCATTCAACTAATTTATTCATGTTTTCTCGTCACCATATTCCCACCGATGGCGTAGCTCCACTTTCTGCATATAAACCCACACGCAACCCACAATTTCTCCAATCGCTCTGACGAAGGGCTAACGCTCGAAATGTCAGCTTTTTTACCCTTTACGGTGGCTAATTTACGTATTCAACTCAGTTGTTAACACTAAATTACTAGTTTTATTAGTGGTTAAGGGAGGGCTCTTCCCTGGAAGCCGAGGTTTGACTGCACATGAGCTTGGATCGGAATTTTCGTGTTTGCCTTCTGTGCTATTAATTGGCAAGACTCTTTACTCACACAATGCTCAGGAATAAAACTGGTTCTGACAGACTATCGGGGAAACCTGACGCATTGATATGGGTTAACCCTGGAATGGACTCACCCGCCAAGGGTGAAGGAGCAATATTCCTGGTCGCTTCGCGCTACAGACAATTGAATCAGCTGGGTAAAGAGGGGCCACCCAGCTCGTTAGCTGATTGTAACTAGTTATAGCCATAGAATGCATCATTCGGCAGGAAGTGCTGTCGAGTCTGTAGTACCTGAAAATTGTTGCACAGCTGTTTCGGCTACTAATAGAACTCAGTGGTATGCCATGCTCTAGTATCGAGGTAGCGCATGGGTTAACAATTAAAAAGATAAAGAGTGATAGGTAATCTCTGTAAACTACTGATACCATCTTTACGTGTGGTCACCAGTGTCGATAAAGCACGGTCAAAATTATTAAATTTTCGCCCGGCGACGGCGTAGAGTTTTAAAAAACACTGGTTGAACTGCTGAAGAATAGAAGGTAACAAGGTTTTTTCCATAACAAAATTACGAGAAAAATGTGGAGGGACCAAGATACCCAAATTGGATGCTTAGACCACTTAATAATTCACGGCACGATACAGCCTTGTTGAATTGCACATATGAACACCAGTCCTGCGACACAACCATTTTCATGGCTTGATGTAGCAACAACAGAATCAAACAGGGGAAGGTCCAAATGCCAAATGAGAGATTTTGTGTTTGGGGAGGGGAGGGGGCTTAATGCACGAGCTTTGTAGAGACGAGAGGGACGATTGCGTGTCCCTAGTATTTTCATACTAGGCGTCATGGTACACAAACTTACAATGACCCTTAAAATTTGAAGTCTTTTTGTTTTTCATTTATCCATTCACTTATTTTTCCTTTTTCGTTTTTTTTTTTTTTCAGGAAAATAATGTTGTGCCTCTTATAAAGTTCTTTTCATTTCTTTGTGTACTGCTTGGTTTCACTCTTCTTGTTCTACGCATGGAATATCAGCCTTCTTTTACAAAGAACTGGTTCAACGAACCTTTAGATCAACCACTTGATATGGAACCTTTTGACTGGGGTATAGAAACAACAAAATCCACGGACGATACACATGAAGGTGGCTCTGGTAAGTGACTTAGCTTATTCACCATGAATTTTAGCAACTATAGTCTTTATTCGCATTTCCTGTTTTATTCAAGCCTCTTTGTCTTCGCTAACTCTTATTCAAAATTCTTTTGTTCTTCGATCGATCTTACCCCTTTAATTTGGTCGTTTGAATCATCGTCCGGTTCTCTTGAACATAAGGTAATCTCTCAAATCGAAACTCTTATTCCCCACGGTATCAGCGAACGCTTTTCAGTCAATTCATTTTGTTCTTGTGTCTTTTATGTTCCCATTTCTCAACCAGTAGCGCAGCTTCATCTTTTTGTTTATAAAAACCTCACACAATCCACAATCCCTCTATTCACTCTGATGAAGGGATAACACTGAAAACGTAAACTTTAAAACTTTTAACTTGGGTCAATTACACTATGAACGCAGTTGATGAAACCAAATCATCGTTTGCGGGCGAGCCGTGCATGAAACTTACAGTTTCAAGCCGAGATAGTGCCGCAGTTCTCTGACTGGATTAGATATTGTACCACATGCAAAATTCATTGAAAATCTTTCTGATTGGCCGAAAGTGTACGGTGAATTTTCGAAAATAACGCCTGGGACGTCGTCTAGCAGCAGATTACACAATAATCATGTCATGTATGACCGCGGCGCATGATTTTTAAGGGTAATCATGTCAAGTTCGCGCGCTTTGTGATGCTCGCTGATTTGTATCTTTTTACACGTTTAGAAATAAATTACCAGTTCCCCTCACTGTCGTGACCATTTTTTTTTCGTTCAATGTATAATAAAACAATTATTATATTCGGTTTTTGTGATATCCAGAATAATCAAGGTCTCGGTTAGGGTTATATCCCCCTACCTCGACCTTGTTCTTAATATCGCAAAAACCTCATCCAATAATTGTTTATAAAGCCATAATAAGCTCAAACCTCAAAGCTGTGTCTCGCAGGCAATCATAGTCGTGTGATGATGAATAGGGTATTTTTTTGGTGGTAAATTGGTTACTGTGGGAGCAAGTAGCATTGGAAAGTCGCTAAGCAACCAGTCATTTTATATCACCTGGGGGAGGTCGGAAGATTTTTGCGGTGATCACATGGTTATCAAGGTTGAACGGAAAGGTGATCAGTCATTGGCAACAGCCTGAGAGAAAAAAGTGGGGAAATTGACTGCCAATGTGGGGGATCTTGAGAGTAGTATAAATAGAAGTCTATTAGCTCTCTACTAAAATGTAAAGAAATAATCTTGTGACTCTCAGAAGCGTCAGACGTCCTCCCCTTGGCTGTTTGGGGTTTGTGGGGTCCGTGGAGTGAATGCAGCAAGAGGAAATATTGCCAAGAAGGACAACAACATCGCCGTAGAGTATGTTTGTCTTTGGAAGAATCGGCTCAATGTATGGGTGTCTCCATGGAAGCCAGAGATTGCCCTACTGCTGCCTGTGTACATGCATGTAAGTTCGGATGATCTTCTTTATTAATATGAGGGCCTGAGACTATCTTTGTTAGTGATGAACTTGCCGTAGTAAGTGCAATTATTGTTTTATACATTTTGCTTGCAGATAGTTCCCCTCCCATTTTAGTGGACAAGTCACCAGCATCGGCAACATCATTTCTTGCTCAAGAATGCAACGCTACAGTTAAATATGCGGCAAGTGGTAGATTTGGAGACCTTGTACCAAGCACTGTTTATAGTTTATATCCTTCTGCTAAAAAGATGTTTAAAAGCGGATTTTTTGCCTTGGAGAGGATTCCTAAAGTTCTCAAGCACGAGTCTGATATAACTAAGGTACAAAATGACGTAAGATAGTCATTTGGTTAGTTAGTCGGTCTGTACGTCAGTCAGTCGGTCAGTCATTAGTCAGCCGTTGGCTAATCATTTAGTCAGCCAGTCAACCATTCAGTAAATCAGCCAACTAGTAAATCAGCCAACTAGTAACTCAGCCAGAGGGTTACTTAGTTGGCCTTCCAGTCAATCAGTTGGACACTTGGTCTGCTGGTCAGGCAGCCAGTCAGTTAATCGGCGAGTTAGCCATTGAGTCAGTCAGACGGTTTCTCAGACAGTCAGCCAGTCACCTAGTCAGTCAGCTAGATAGTCTCCTAGCCAGTCACTCTGTTAGCCGATTGGTCCGTCGGTTTTTTCAGTCAGTTACTTAGTTAGCAAGGCGAAAAGTCGAAAGTCCGCTGTTCAGCCTCTCGCATAGCTGGTCAGTTAGTCAGTCGGTCAGTCACTCCGTATGTCTGTCTGGTGTTCACTGAGTCAGTCACTGATTCAATTAGTCAGTATCTCAATCAGTTATATATCGTTAATCAGCCTGTTAAGTCTGGCGGTAACTGACCAACCCTTTATGAAATTCTCCCAATCTCCATGCAGGTGTGTTTTGAACCTTTTGGAGTGTGGTCTTTGACAGTAGCTCGAAAAGTGTTCCACTTAAACAGATCCACGAGAGCCTCTCTGAACGAAGTAAAATCAAATCGCGTGATTGGGTTGGCCATAGCTCTTCGACCTGATGGGACGTTATACGGGGTACTGTTAGCCACAGGAACCTCAGAAGGGGTCTATGGCAACGTTTATTACAGGCGTTTTCGAGGATTGAGTTTCCACGATGATATATCATTTTAAGATGTTGACGACATTGGTTGTTCTTAGAATTATTTGTTTTTTAAAACCGTTCCAAGGAAACTGAAAGCGCCCCAGAAGACTGATTTCTTCGCGCACGATGTTAGTAATGCTGGAAATCATTTTTGTAACAGTTTTGAAATGTTTTTAAAATGTTTTTCATCAGATCATGAAATGATTTTTAGACTTGTACACACATTAGAAGGTCTGGGCCGCTACTTAAGCCTGTTTACCAGCAAGGATCGGTAAAAGAGAGGTTGCTACACCGTGCTCGATAATCAAAGGCCAAGCGCTTAAGAGTTCCGTGGATAAACTCAATGGTCATGCAGTTATGGAATTTTTTTAAGTGAAAATGATTACAGCAACAACAAGCTGCTCACAGAAACACATGTTTTGTATTGCAATGAAGTCAATAACTAACAGGAAACGATGAACAAAAGGTGGCATCAATATTTATTGAGGAATTAGCCCGAGCAACTTAATTTTTTTATGAGCGTATAGCAATACTTAGGAGTTATTTGAATAACTAGTGTATTTATTTAATAAACATTCCTACTTCTTGTACTTTAGCAGATATTGAATTCCTCGCTAGCTTTTCAAGTTCACGAGCTGTCTTAGCTACCAAGCTAGTCCAAGCTAGCTTACAAATATATTAATGTTTCTGGTTACCAGGGTTACACTACATGTTCTTCTTCCATTGATTCCTCCAAACGCCTCTTGGGAATGATTAAGATAACTTCTCTGTTATAGCCCAAAACCTTACGCAACACCTTGAAACCAAATACAATGAAGATGATAGAGGATGCAAACAATACCATGGAGAAAAACAGCAACAATGTAAGAAGGAGAGCAATAACTCCGGAAGAATTGTCTTGGCTTTCATCTGAGCTATTTATATGATCGGCAAAATACTTGCTGTTCATTTTGAATATGTAGTAGAGAAATGGAATCTCGAGAATGAATAACAAGAAGTTTACAAATCCCAGCATAAGGACGCCCTTTTCGTTGCTGTTAAGCATTTCGAAGACTTGGATGAACTGCCACTGTAAAATTACAAAGTTGTTGTTAATTGTATCAAATATCATCTTTCACAAGATTTGCAGGGATCTACATTCGACGTGCGATTTTGATGACCAGGTACAAGCATGTTACAAAAGAGTTATATAACATTCTCAACCCTTTAAACTCATAGCGTGACCAGCATCTAATTTCTCCTTAAAGTAATACTGCTGAATCATTTATTAGGATCGTAAGAATAAAGGAAATGTTCACCCAGTTAAGAAGCTTTGATTTTTAAATGAATATATCCTTATCAGAATTATAGCACACGAATAACGAATTGAGGTGCGTATGGCGAATATAGATACTGATGTTAGGGTGTAAAGGGTTAGGTTAAACGTTTTTGGATATTTTCGACCACAAATTTTCGTTGTATGAAGTTTTCGTTGTATCAAGCTCTTTTGGCAACATGTAAGTCTATGTTTTGGACATTATTTTATTTAACTCTTTTGACTTAACATTTGTTCCTGGTTCAACTTCAACAGGTTATCTCTCTTACTTCTCAGGTTTTAAATATTTTTGATCCATGCCCATCTTAAGAGGTCGATTACTATTTTTCATGGGGAATCGGCCTACGCCTTATCAGTATAATGCTAACTGCGTACGATCTTAACAATGAATGTGCAATACAGACTGAGACCCCTGCCTACCTCACGAAATGGCTTGTATCTCCACCTCGTCTCAAATTTAAAATGACACAATTCACAGGTGTCTTGCTTGCGCACGCGCAACCATGTCTCTATGCAATGTTTGTGTACGAAACCAAGAGTGCCCCTGCAATGACAGGGACTATCAAGGAGCTCTCCCAATTCCTGAACAGACCGCCTGGATGACTGACAGATCCGACAGCTCGGTGAAGAGCGACCCACTTCACTTAAGCTGTGGCGTTCAATCGATGAAGGCTGTGTGAAAATAACTAAATTAGCTATTTGTTGTTTAATTAAAACCAAAAACAAAGTTATCACAACAGTTGATCAGAAGAAATGGAAATACCTTAAAAAGTCAAAGATCAAAGTGAAACCAACCAAACTGTCCAAACTTAGCGCGGGAAAACGTGGGTGACCAATTCGTGTTTGTTTTAGTTTTGCATTTGATTGGTTGAGAGACTGGCGCGAGTTTTCTCGACTGTTCACAGGGCGAAGTGAAGCAAAAGCAATGCAATCTCGGATTACTTTCGACACTAAATTGAAAATCGCTCGAACTGTTGTTTAGTTACAAACAGCACAGTAAGTCATATGTTTGTTGGTATGAAACAGAAACATGTCCAGGGTTCTACTGTTGGGCTTTTTTTTGTTTTCGGGATAGAATCGTAATTGTTGGACTTATGATTTGTAAAACAACAGTGGTGTAGACAACTACCAAGTCGAGTTGTAACGTTTTTGTTCTATTCTTTTCTGTTTTTGTCATGAAACTTGGATTAACGCCGCATAAATCTGATTGGAGGGTGGTGTCTATTCGAGAATAACGAATTGGATTGGGAAAGGAAATTACGGAGTTAAAGAAATGCAAGAATCATCGGTTACTCCTTGTTCTAATCAGTGTACCTTTTTTACCCCGTGCACGACTGTAAGTAAATGTTATTCACTACAGTCATTACTAATCAGCAGCAATAGCAGCAGCATAGGCGAAGCAACGACAACAACAGCCTATCATTTTAAAGGAAATTCAACTTCACCGTCCCATAATTACCTATTTGAACTGGGACTTTTAAATCAGTTGAGAAATTGAATCAATTCCATTTTAAAATTATCTCCTTATGTCAATGTTGTAAGCCATTCAATTTTTTTAGTTTTCAGGTCAACTTACCGTGGAGTGTTCTTTGTCATTATCGTCTTTCATATCTTCAGCTTGATTGTCTTTCATATCATTACTTAAAATCTTCAGCAAAAATGGTAAATATAATTTTCTCTGATGTTGCGGGGCTAAAAACCGTTACAATGTGACATCTATTCGACATCATCCACGACACTATCGTACCGCTCGCGTGACATAACGCTTCACGCTATGATCGTTTTCATGAAACTTGGAAAAAGTCGCACTCTACAGATGATAGAGCATTCAAAGTCAGCCAGAACCACCTTGATGTAATGGTATACGTTTTTAAGAAATCTGGTGATGTGCGCAAAATTTTTTGGAGCTGTTGACTCTCAGGTTTTTCTCGTTCTTGCAAACCTCCAAACCGAGTTTTCTACCCGCGCGCGCCAATAAATTAATACATCATCGTTCACCTACACGCAGAAGAACAAACTCGCGTAGACTGACTAGTTATTCTTCCAAAAAATGTTTGCAGAAACTGCTTATCTTTCATGAGAAAAATAGTGGCCTCCTATCCAATGGCCACCTCCATTCAGGAGACAAACTTTGATCCGGGAAGATTATTTACGCAGCCTTTGTATTTATTTACCTCTGTTTAGGGAAAAGCTCCATATCATCCAAAAGGAGGAATAGACATTTATTCTAGGCCCTCTTCAAACCTCCGCTCTAGGGACATCTGAACCCCTTAAAACGTGAGGTGTACCTAGTGCACTCGATTCTGCAACTACCTGAGGCACTTAAATCGTTGTACTATACTTGTGCGAATTAAACAAACAAGATCGCAGAAATTTATGTGAATTATAGTTTTCATACATCATTCAGCTGTTTGAATTAATATTTCCAGCAGATTAAAAGACAGAAAAATAAAACAATGTCATATTCATTGTTAGTTAATTAAGTATTAAAATCAATCCAACCACACTAATGGAACCCGATTGGAGGCGCCATTGTATGTTTCTGATCTTCTTCAAAACGAATAACTCTGCTCGGTAGGTTCTTTGTCGATTGAGTTCCCAATTGGAGAGTAAACATATCATACTCAATATGTGTACTTAACAAGCTCAGAGTTACCTATTATAAATTTATTATACTTTACGTGAAACCCCATCGCAAATTAGGTCCGCAATGCGCGCTAAGGCTGAAGCTTCTTTTCGAGCCCGCAATCTCAACACATTGTTCTGACGTGTCCATTTTCAAGATGGCGGACCGACAAGGTTCTGATTCATCGCAAAAACATACGCCTTTGCACGGGATATCTCTCGCCAACCTTGGTGGGAATTTGAACTTTGGACCTACTCTTGTGCCAGCTTCCGATTCTTCCCCAATTTTGTTGAGAAATCAAACAACTGCAACACCGACCACCAGTAGAGGTAATGTGTTTCGGTATGAGGGTTTTAAACTTTAAGATTCAATTTTTCGTTGATTCAGATCTAAGATCATCGACCTTGCTTCGAAAACAAAATTGATCAGATTGATGTGTGCAATTAGAGATAATTCTCATGCTCCACGTATGTAATGGCTTGGAATATATTTTCGTGCTCATGCAAACGGATGGGAGATTTTCAGCTTTTATTATTCTGTAATATGTTGTTGTTTCATATGGGAATGATTTCTGATAGCGTCGCACTTATTTATGACGTTTTGGTTTAGAAAACTCTCATGAAACTAATTTAAAATCATGACTATGGTCTTTTTTTGGATGCTGTAACCCTACATCAATTATTTCACAGAGGATTGGTGCCTCTTATTTTCTTTTGTGGTAGTAGAAGGGGTACATTTACTTCCTCAGTTGCCCTGAGTGGGGACATTACTGAAGAGAGTATTAGTTCCAGGGTCTGTAGTCTTAGACTGAGTAAGAAATTTTACCATTTATTTCTGTCACCTGCTAAATGATAATGACTATAGAGTTGATGCATATTTTGCAACTTCTCTGGGTCATGGTGGTCAGTTAATTTCAATAGTACCTTTTGTTGTGGTTCTTGTTTTAAGAACAGGAGGTGTAGATTATAAGACACACACTGTTTTATTCAGAAGCAAGAAGAACATTAAACTAAAACACATCACACGTGAATAATGATCAATGCCTATATTTTATATGTGGTGGCCTAGGTACTAATATGATGACCACTGGCTGGAAATGGAGGCTAGCCAATATCATGACACCTTTTACAAAAATTATTTTCCCCAGCTGTAAGAAACTTAGATGCAAGAAAGGATATGTTTCCTTATTAATGTTTTGTTAAGTGTGTCAGTAGCTGGCTCACAACACCTGGTTTGCCATCAAGTTGCATTAGCTGCTCTTAATTTTGGACCCTATTGTGTCTTGTGGCAGATACTTTGAGGAAATGAGATGGTTTCATTAAATACATTATGAGGGTTTTTTATTTCAGTGGCAGTACTCTACTTAAGTCTTTGCCCAAAGTCTTTCTTTGAAATACTAGCTCTCACTGCACCATCTATTATGAGAAGAGCAACCAGAGCCAAGAAAAATAAATGAAAAATTATTATTTGACTCCTGGTATCCTAGGCCTATTATTAGTACATATATGCCTAATTGTGATAAACTTGCAGTAGAAAGCTAGTATTTTTCTTATGCATAATATTGGTAAATTCAATCACTTCAAAACTAGGATAATTTTTTGGTATGGCCAGGCAATTCTTGAAACATACAGAATACTCTTATGAGGTGTGCACA